TTGACCCCTGGCATAGCAGTCACGATTACTATCCACTAGATCACCAGGCCCGTTGAGACCGATTTTTCCAATTTCCACTTTAAATAATTAATTAACAGGCAGGTACCACACAATCAAATTATTGGTAAAGGTTTTTTTTTAAAATAGTACCTACTTCCGGAATTGTTCATTTGTTAAACGATTTTAAAAATTCTTTTTATTTAAAATTTGAAGAAAAAATCCACCGCTAATGATGAAAATTAAGGAATGAAGAATTCTGTCCATTATAATTTATCAGGATGTCAAATCAGTGATACTTTTTTAAAAAGTTAACTATTTATCTATCTACCGTGTGCGTAGTGCAACTGTATTAATGACAACATGGCAGTGCATCGAACATTAAACGTTTTAACTGCTTCATCATTAGATAACAGTTGCGCAAGCGCCTCCGACGGAGAAAGTGACATTTTTGTACTTGTTAAAGCGATTGAGAAGCGTGCCGTTACGGACGACACAAATGATTGTCGCGTACAGACAGAGACACCATCTCAAATTGGTATTATTGTAATTTATGAGTACATAGCCTCCCGGATCAGTAAGCTGAAGTGGCAGTGGGCTGGCCATATTAGCCGCAGAACCGACAACCGTTGGGGAAAACGAGTTCTTGAGTGGAGTCTCGGCAAATGTAGTGTAGGACGCCCACAGGCCAGGTGGAGTGACGATTTGCGCAAGATGGCTGGCAGGAGCTGGATGCGAGAAGCCCAAAATTGATCTAAGTGGCGTGCAATGGGAGAGGCCTATGTACAGCAATGGACTGCGATAGGCTGATGATGATGATGAGTACTTAAAATTCTGTCTCTTTATGTAATGGATAGTTGAATACATGATCTTTTTGAGCTAGAGCCTGAATTCAATCATTACTTTCTTCCTTTGTAGTTGATGGTTCATCGAACTAAATATCAGCCTAAAGCCTTGTAACATTAAATTTGCGTCAACCCCAAATAAAATTAGCACCTACTACTTTTTAGGCAACAGAGTCGGTGCTTAGTTGTTTGACTTGCTGCATTATGAGGTTACGTGAAGTGAGACCTCATTTTACCAAAGAATTTAGATTTGTTGTAATAAACATTATCGGAATATGTGATCATTGTTGTAGACAAAAATATTAAGCACCAACCTCAAACTGTAATTTCTGAGAACAAAACTAACCGTTCTCTATTGTTTTTTATGGTGTAGGGCATGAGCAGATGGGTCACTGGATTGGTAACTAACACCGCCCATAAACGCCTTTAACTCAAGAGGGTAGGGCCTCTAGGCGCATCACTATCTCACCCCCAGAACGGAGGTGGGCGCTGATTGGGCCTGGATTTATGTAGCCATTGTTATACAATTTTTCAATTTATAGAAAATTTTCTTTAATAATTTTAGATTTCTATTCTACATGTAATCATTAAGTTTTCTAAATACGACATGCTTACGTGCGCCAATGTGTTTAAAAGGGCTACAAAGTTTTTTTTTCACGTAGGTAAGTTATAGAGATGTAATGTTTTTTTAAAGTGCTGTATTTCTTTACCTTTTATTAGAACATTAGTATACATAGATATATATAAAGGATGTTTAATTAGTAAGACCGCGAACAAAGTATGCAGAATTGATTCAAAGCGCACTAACAGCCATTAGGTAACCTGTTGAGTTACTAGTGGAGTGAGTGGCCATTTATTACTAAAGGTCGGTAATGCGAGCATGTTACTTAAATGTTAAGTAAATTGCTAATAATTGAGCAAATACAAACATTTGTGTCTTTCTAAATAATATTAGTAACTTGAGACTAACACGTGTGGTCTTAAACTAGGTAGAAAATGTACTGTGGTAACCAGACTGCTGATTGACAAATACAAACATATTATAGATGCATTACAGCCAGTTATATTAGCATTAAGAGCAACCAGTCAAAAACTAACATATTGGAAAAAAGTTTTATACATAATGTCGTTAAAAAATTGACCAGTTAGTTAAAATACAGTTTGCGGAGTATTGGTAGGGTGACCTAAAGGGCGGCAAGGTACTTGTGACTCTAGCTAGAGTTGCAAGTGTTCATGGGCAGTACCAGTACCATCCGATGAAGATACCATCTCTTCGTTTGCCCCTTTACCATAAAGAAGCTATACTTAAGGTTTGTAAATATGTAGATAAATTGTCACCCAAGGTACATCAGGTTGTCCGTGTGGTGACGGATTAAGAATATGGAGTGTCACCAACCCTATTCATTAAGTGGGTATCGTAAGAACCGACTATGGGAGCAAACTCAGTTATACTCAGAGTGTAGGATTTTGACGGTGAGACAGCTCTTTATACTCCATACTATACTCCGTAAACATAGCCATCTTCAGTGTGATACAAATGTTATCAGAGGCCGTCGATACTATAAAGTTTGTCCCACCCACAAATCAAAGACTGCTGCTGCTCGGCGTCATTTCCACATTCTTGGCAACTTTCTATACAATAAAGTAAATAAGCTATGTGATATCTACCACCTCACCAAATATAGATGCAAGGTGAAAGTCTATGAGTGGCTTTACACATTGACTTATACAGAGACAGAGAACCTAATAATCCTATCAACCCTTTAGGCTATAACATCAAAAACTATTTACACGAACGGGAATAACGCACACACACACACACACACACACACACACACACACACACATACGTGCGTCAATCACACACACACACACATACACGCACGCATGCATACTCACTCTCACACACGCATGTTCTTTTTTAATTGTTGCATGTAATAGACATAGTGTCTGTCAATTGTAACCACGCTACATCTGATTGAATGTATTCCAAATGTGAGAGACCTGATACCCATAACACAAGTTAAATCTTACTTTGGGTATCAGTGTCACAACATACTGCTTACCGTGTAATATTGTGATCCTATTTAGTTTTAATTGTAAGTGGTTTATTGTACAACTTAATGCAAATAAAGATATTATTTATTTAAAAAAAAACTACGCGTGACAACAGCACTGCAAAGAGAAGGAAAACTTGAAACAAACCCTGTACCAACCCGTCTGGCCAACATGGCCAAAACCTTTCTAAGGAGAGGTCTATGTCAAGCAGTGGACTATTAAAGGCTGTTGATGATTGATGATGATGATATATTGCACAAACCTTCTAGTGAATTGATTAATTAAAGTTTAAATTATGATAAAACGTAAATGATCACAAAGAATAAAAGTAATTTCAGTATTTTGAAGGTAAATGATGATTTTTCAGTTTCTATTCCTGTTATGCTTTTCGGAGTGTATCTAAATTTAAACACAGTCTGATAGTAACATCCTAATCTCATCATCTTTGTATTTTTCTTCTTATATTCTTTCAAATTTATTTGGCGTTTTCGCAATGAGTTTTCTTCTTCCATTTTCGCTTATCACTGGTCAGTTCACTGCTAGCCATTTAATGCCGTATCCTTTTCACGTAATCCTTTTATCTTAGTTTATCTATTTTAATGTTATAAAACCCATAAAATAATATTTTTTTATATCACCTTCTCACTGTAAGACATATTTACATCTATCTTTCTAAATTATGTAGAACGGCTTTAGTGGAAAATAAAAACAAATGTTAACATTTTTTTTATTCCTATTGTTTGTTCTTGATTTTTTTAATTCATCCATCAAAATATTGTCAGTGGAGTAAACTTTTATGTAATCTAGATTTAAGTAGTAATTCATGGAGTAAGGGCAAATGAGCAGACGGGTCACCTGATGGAAAGCGAATACCGCCGCCCATGAACGCGTGCAACCCAGGAGTCACAAGTGCTTTGCTGCCCTTGGAGTCCCTCCCGCTCGGTCAGCGAGAGGGAGGATTTGGGCTCCGGTAACCTCACTCACTGGTCCCGGGTCCTTGGTCCGTGAGTGAAAACTTCTTATTAGTGACTGGGATTGCACTCCCTAATTTTACTGATGTTACTGTATTATATCAAATGCAACGTTCGAACAAGTCTCCCAACCAACCTTTTCGGTCAAATTTTGGAAGTTCAAATTCCATGCTTAGTATTGTCACTACACGTCCTAATTCTCTTTACAGAGAATTAGGACGCTATACCATAAAAGCAGGCGAAAGCGAAAAGGAGCCAGCCTTTGAGGAAGGAGTACGCTCTTTTCTTGAAGGTTTGAAGGTCGTATCGGTCCGGAAATACCACAACCGATAACTTGTTCCACAGATTGGTAGTACGAGGCAAAAAGTGTCGTGTTGTTTATTATTATTGTTGTAATTATTCTTGTTGTTATTGAGTTTCATTTGGTTTTTATGTTATTTTACTTGTAAGATTGTAATGTCAGGTGTTATCTATTGCGGTGAATGTTGTGTGTGCCTGTGATGGGAATGCATACCAGGCATTATATTATGTGTCAATATTGTAAAAGAGTGTATTATATGTATTTTGTTGGTATACCAAATAAATAAAATAATAATAACTGACCACTAAACCAACAGACGAGTCAAGGACCTATCTATTTATATATTTAACTCTGTATTTTGTACGTATTTTTCGATAAGTTAAGTTTCTTTTTGGGAAAATTTTACTATTTTTTTTTAAATTATTTAAAGATCCATACATATACGTTTACTCGTACTTTACATGTTTTTTTTGTTGAAATCACTGCTTTTTTTCTCTGTAATCATTAGGTCATTAGCCGTGACCATCAATGCGGTCACAGCTGTAATGAACAGATAAATAAATATTATGTTTATTATTTATCACATAAAACAACTTGACAGAGAAAGTTTACAAAACGACAGCTTCTGGGGAAGCCACATAGGTTTATGTTTGAGCCGTCGTGATAGACTTTAATACAATACACTTGAATTTAAGTGAATGAGAGTAGTTATATACTAAAATTTGTCCACACTAATTACAGGTACGCTAATAACGAGTATTGTGCGCTTTGAAAACATTACATAAATACAAATAATAAAATAACAATGATTTTCGGTTTTGTTCGCAGGTCTCACTGCAGTTGCGATGCCAAGTTCCGTGATTGTCTTCGAAAGACCAATTCTTTGGTTTCAGCACAGATTGGAGTAACTTACTTCAGTGTATTGGGACCACAGTGCTTTAGGAAGGCGCACCCTATCGTCAAATGCCTGAAGAGAACTAGGTGAGTAATACAATAATTGTACTTTGGAAGGTCATTTCTGAACTTCTTACAGTTGAACAGGTACCAAGAGGCAGATTTGATGCCTTTTGTGCCTGGCTTATTGGTGTAGTAGTTAATGAACCTGACTGATAAGCAGGATCGTGGGTTTGATACCCAACTAGGAAATATAATCGTATGATGAGAACAATCGTTTATTTTGTGTCTGAGTGTAATTTATTTAAAATATTTATATTTATTTACCTAGTAGTATAAATGTAAGGTGTCCAAGGTTATTTAAATAAAACACACTTTAAGGTTTTTCTTGAGGGTAGTTAGTATCAGTGGATTAACCGATAATTAGAAAGGAGGTTTTGTCCTACTATACCACGCTGGCCAGACGGTTTGCTATAGGGTTGTTTCAAGTTTTCCTTCTCATTGTAGTGCTGTTGTTTTGAGTAGTTTTGATGTGGTGATGATGATGATGACGATCTGTAAGTCGTATAGTAATTATGGCCATACTAGATTAGATTCTCTCATGTCAATTGAACTCAAAGGTGACCTAGACCGTTCACCGTCAAGGTTCCCTCTACAGCTACTGACCCTCTAGTTAGTGACCCTTGATAGTAGGTGGTTACCGTCATGTATAAAAAAATAGTAATGTTTCACTCACTCACACACGGCTGTCTTATCCTAAACTAGGCAGAGCCAGAAACAAACAAACTACCGGACTGCTGATAAACATAAACTAATAATACGCATTGTCACCACCCCAATCATCCCGTGGGTGTCGTAAGAGCCGACTAAGGGAGTAAACTACGCAGAACAACAACACCACTGAACAACAACCCATCTGGCCAGCGTGGCATAGTAGGCCAAAACCTCCTTCCTTAGGAGAGGCCTATGTCCAGCAGTGGACTGTTAAAAGCTGTTGATGAACTAGCTGATAACCATACTTATATATTTGTAAATACATACATATTTTTAATAAAGTACACCAATCATTCCAATAGTGATTCTAGTATTTTGTTCTATGTTTTTACACAACGTGTAGAAAATTATTTGTAAGATTTAAAAACTAACTAATAACTTAAATATATCCAAAATACTTTTTTTGAGAATTGCAAAAAAACATTAGACACAAAATAAATTTTGTTCATGACGCCAATTTTTTTTTTACGTACAATATGATTTTGCTTTTGAAAGATTTCATTTTTAATAGAAAAAAACATTTTTCTGGCTAACAGGATCACAGGAATGAAGTGTGAAGAATACGAATTGGACTACACCAAACCCAGGATGTGGCAGTGGTTCGACAACGAGACCTTCTAACTGAAGTCTCCTCTGCAGACCTATAAGTGGATACAGCATGGCGTTGGACGTGTGATCATGGGTCCCTCAACTGGTACCCCACTCCTTACACAAGCATTTAACTTACTGGAGGGCTCCTTTTGTATTATAGAAAAGACTTTGTCTCACCAGCTTAGTTTAGCTGCGTTATGTAGTTGACATGGTTGTTATAAATTATTTAAGCTATACATTAGAATTAAAACAATAAAAAACGATTGGCACAAGTATTTTATACACGAGTTTTAAACTGTATTTGCCCTGTAACGTCTCTTTGATAGATAAAATAGGAGTTTATCCGATACAAAATATTTATAATATACAGTACCGATTGACTACCATTCATCATCACCAGATAAACAACCTTTAAAAGTCCACTGCTGGATATAGGCCTCTCTTTAGTAAGGAAGCTTTGGCTTAAATCACCAAACTGGCTGGGTTGGTATAGGGTTTGTGTCAAGTTTTCCTTCTCTTTAGTCGGCTCTTACGACACCCAAGGGATGAATAGGGGTGGTGACGTTCTGTATTCTTAATCCGTCATCACACGGATACTACCATTAGCGCCTTCAATCAAACAAAAAAAACATTTTAGCTTTAAAATATTAGTATAGATAACAAATTGATTAAAAACTATGATTAAATTGTCAGGCTTAGAAGACAGTTATCCATTCCATGTCGACAATATATCTATGGTCTGTGATGGAGATAGAATTATTTAAGGGTCTCGATGAGATAGGAGAAAGAGTACAATGGATGGTGAGTAAAATGACAGCACGGAGGGCGTAGTGGTTTAAGTGGTCGCCACGCCGCTTCCTACTACGCTGAGTGTTGTGGGTCCGATCCCTATATGGGATGACACTTTGTGTGATCCACAAATTGTTGTTCTGAGTCTGGGTGTTGTTTGTAAAGTCCCCCGCAACACAGGATATATTCCTAGTGCGGGAGTTGTCTTTTCAAAAAGAAAGAAAAGAAAGTATGGTGAGCATTTCTTGAAAAGCCCTAATTTTTAAACGAATTACAGTTTTATGTAAGTCTAAAAACTGATAATGTATTATTATCGAGATAATAAAACAAGATATTGTATACTAAATTCAAGTCCCTAATGGAGCCCTAAGTCAGGGAGCGATACAATCGGCTGTATGGGTGTCAGTATAATCATACAGTTAAATGATTATAAATGCCGCGAATGTTAATACTCTGTGTTATTTACATAATTAGTAATAAATACGAAATTAATTGAGTAATTATTTCTTGACTAGGTCAGATATCTATTAAATAAGAAAACTAACTTAATGTTAAGAATAGAGTTATATGCCTAGGTTACAAATTAAGGTTTTATAATAAAACTCTTTAAAATTACCTTATTTCATTGTTTTTTTATGGCATGGGGGCAATAGAGCAAACGGGTCGGCTGATGGTATGCAAGTTTGCTGTTTTTGACAATGGCGTTAAAGTATTGACGATTGAAATCTTATCAACAGCCTTTATTAGTCCACTGTTGGACATAGGCCTTTCCTTAGAAAGAAGGTTTTGGCCTTCGTAGGCCGGTAGTACCACGCTGGCCAGACGGGTTGGTATAGGGTTTCTTTCAAGCGGTTACCACCGCCGGCGCCTCATGCCGCCCTGAGTGTGGCCACGGGTGGACGGGACGGGTTTTCGCCTTCACCCACCATAACGGCCAGCCGCGAGGAGGCGACGTCTGCGTGTGCCGGACGTCGCTTAAATGGAGAATGTACCAGAAGATGGTGCCCGCGCCATTGTGGCCAGCCGCTAGAAGGGGTCCGGATGTCTTAATAACAGCTGTTCCCGGATCCCTCCTATTACAGGCGCAGAGTAGCAGTGTGGTTTTAGTCGGTTCGATTCCGATACACCACCCCGCCGCAAACCACGGTGGAGGTTCCCACACGTATTTCTTTTTATCAAATACTTATTATTGAATAGTTTCAACAAATAATTCCAAATACCTAATTTGATATCGGTTATTATATTTGATCGTAGATTCCCATCTTTAGAAAATGTCCTAATAGCAATGGGGCAAACTAGAAAGTGCATCTTTTCAAATAAAAGCAGAGTCTACCGAATTTGTTCTGTTAACGTATTTAAAAAAAAAAAGAAAGAACTGAGAAAAAAAGGGAGGCCTTTAATTACATTTAGTTAAAAATAAAGGGCCTACTTTAAATTCTTTATTTAAACCTGGTGAACTAATTATTGCGCTACTCAGCAGGTCAACTAAGCCGTCTACGGAGAATTTATGCAACGTTGTGGTTTCAGACAATAGGTGTCAAAGGGAACGCTGGCTTTAAAGAAAGTAGTGAAAGTAAACAAGGCAAGAGAAAGTATAAGACAATGACAGTTAAAGATGGTGGGAAATATAAGAATATAGTTTCTATTTATTCTTTATTGTACACATTGAACACATACATATATATAAGTAACAAGGAAATGTCATGTACAAAAGCAAGCTTAACCTAAAACTGAGTTTTCTTCCAGCAAACCTTTAGCGAATAGAGGACAACAGACAAACGTAAGGGCACTGTCATGCGTACTTAGGAATCAACACAGAAAAGCATAAAAATTAAACAAATACCGACATTAATTAGGATAGTAAAATATATTATACGTATAAATACATACATATACATACATACATACATACCAAGGGTCTGATTATTGAAGGGACAGATAATAATCCCTGGTTCTCTTCCTATTAATGTGAATATAGTTGTATTATTTATACGAATTCGTGTGGTGACGGATTAAGAATACGGAGTGTCAATACTCCTATTCATCCCATGGGTGTGTTAAGAGCCGACTGAGGGATCAAACTACCCAGGATAACAGCACTGCAAAGAGAAGGAAGACACAAACCATGAGGGGGATGTGATAGTCCGTATTTTTAATCCGTCTGTCTGCCCATTGACCTTCTTCTTGAAAAATGATTACTTTCTACAAACGGTTGGCGTCAAGCATACGGCTGGTCAAACAATAAACCAGCCAGAACCCTAATCAATATTAAAGATTGCACCGACCTCAAATAACATTAGCAAAAGGTGAGGATAATAATGATGGAAGACGAAAATAAAACAACACTTCATTTATATTTATTTAATAAAACATCAGAATATATTTCAAAATTACATTTAACAACGAATAAATTACAGCACAAAAAAAAGGTGAACAAAACAAAATTACTAAGTAAAAAAGCTCTTTTCACAATGAGCTTAAAATCTGTTCAATTTATCAAATTTTGTGCGCAAAAAGTTTTCAGAAAAGTTGTGTATATCAGATATGTGATCAATTCAAATTGATATTGCAATGGAACAGTCAAATGGCGTAATATGGATGACACTACGAGGGGTAAAATATTTTATCCACTATAGAGCTCGCGGTATATAGGCTCGAAGCCTAAACGACGTCTATTTGCAAGGTTAACGAAATTTTTCAATAAAACACATAAAATACCGATAAATTTCTGTGAAGAAATCGGTCCAAAAAAAATGTGTATAATGTATGATTACCAAACAGGAACTGTAAAACCGCTGCAGTAATAATAGTGTTCCAATTTAGGGTTCCGTAGTCCTAACAAGAAATTCTTATTGATTTGTCATCAGTTCATTCAGTTCAGATCAGTATATATATATATATATATATATGTGTATATACATCAGTTGTTTAGTACCCATAGTACAAGCTCTGCTTAGTTTGGGACTAGATGGCGTTGTGTGATTGTGGTAGAATATTATTATTATTCTCTTTATTACGAAATACATTTAAAATTATAAAAAATAGTGTCCCATCGGTATCAGGTACATGGACCAAGATATCGGTGGTTAGGACTCCAGAGACAGAAACCTCCTCACAATACGCGCCGTGTCAAGAAGAACTGCTTTCTGCATTAGGCCCTTAATCCAACTGCCTACCGCGAGCCTCTGAAGATGTTGGTCGAGGCTATTAGCAACTAATCCATGGGCCGATATGACTATCGGTAAAATGATTGCCGAATCAACGTATTCATTATTATTATTATTATTTATCCGCCTGCAGCTTATAGCGACTTAGTATAAAAATAGCTATTATTTTGCTGTGGGAGTCTTTATCGTAGGATTGTTTTAAAAATATTAAGTTTGTGAAATATTCAACTTGAAGCCTCTGAAAATAAATTATTGTTGGCTATAAAAATTTTGAAAAAAAAAATCAATAGCAATCATATTAGTATAAATAACAGAATAAGTATTAAAGCAATCGTGATAGTTTTCCTTCTTAATCCGTTATTTGTGAACTAAATTATACCGCATAAAATGCCAAGTTATCCCAACTAGAATCCCGAGAAAAATATTTACATGGCGTAGCTTGGATAAAGCCGGTTATGAACTACGGAACCCTACACTGTGTAAGGCACACCATGCACTTGGCCGGTTTGTTAAAGAAACAAATTAAGTTGTTAATGCTTTAATAATAATCATCAAGGATAGTTGTTTTATTAGGATAAAAAAATAATATTTAAAAAAAATGTTATAATTATATAAAATAATTTAGTTAGTTTTTTATCGCTTGCAAATAGACTTTTTTAAATTACAATGGTAGTGTACATTATTTTCAAAAAAGTTTTAATAATATTACAAAAATGTAATAACTATTTGTAAATATTGGTGTATCGATAAACATTGTCTTCGAAATTCTTCTTAAATTGATAATATAAATTTATCTGATATTGCAAAAATATTAAAATATTTGCAAAACAAAAAAAAATACAAAAAATTATAAAATATATTTTCACAATACCAGACGTAAGACATCTAAGATATTAATTTATATTATAACACATATAAAATCCCGAATAATTTTAAAAACACACAAAATGAGATATACACGTGAAGACATTGATGCTATACATATAACTATAATATATAAAATTCTACAGTAAGCTACGCCTACTAAAACCTATGAAACTATGGGCCTTAACAAATATAGATATATTGCTTACC